TTTAGCAAGACCCTGTCACAGAATTAAAAATAAAAATGGCTGAGGATGTGGCTCAGTGGCAAAGCACCCCTGGATTCAATCCCCAGTACCCCATCCTCATTCAGTTCTGATAGTGCTTCATTGGCCTATCGGTTGCCGTACAAAATTTTAAACACGGATTACATAGCCCACCCTGGTGAGTTGTTTCTCTCATAAAGCCTAAAAATGTCGTTTTGTGAGAGTACACAATCCTCAATGTCACAGATATTTTGTCTCTAAACAATTTTTCATATTTGGAAAGTCAGAGATTTAGAAGGTTTGCATTCTCACCCTGGTGTAGCATGCTGTGGGACCCTGGTCTAGAATGGCCTTAGATGCTTACCTATTAAATATGACTAATACCTGGCTCCCCCAGGCCACTGTTAGTAGGGCAGAAATTTTAAATATTTCCATGCTAAGCTAAACCAAATTGGGATCTGAATGGGACACCACTTCCTAAGTGTGATAGAGATTTAGTATAAAGAAAGAAACATACTGAATCTTAAAAGAAACACCCACAAGCCATTGAGATGCAGAAAGCCATTTGTACGCATTGGCCCAAGCCCTTGGAAAATGAGGGGGATATGTGCAAGTACAGAGAAAATTGGCATGAAATTGAGGCACCCACCTCTATCTAGTCTGGCCCCTTCTGTAAATATTGGACCCCCACCCCAAGTCAAGGCTGCTTGCTCTTGAGAGAGCCCACATTCTCCTTTGAATGTGTATCTACCTTTCTAAATAAACCTCCCTCTGTGCCTTTGTCTGGTTCATGCTGAAGTTCTTTTCCAATGTGTATGCCAAGAAACTCCTCAGGGAACTCCTCGAACTCTTCTCCGGAGACAATTCTTCTCTCTTGACACTACTTCAAATACTTCTAGAAGGGAGAGGAGTGTGTGATGTTTGTGTTTGGGGAACAGATTGTACTGTGAAAGTTTTTGTTTTGTTTTTAGTACTGGGGATTGAACCCAAGGGTGCTTAACCACTGAGCCATACCCCTAGCCCTTTCTTTTTTTTTTTTTTAATTTTTTATTGTGGGTTGTTCAAAACATTACAAATTTCTTGACATATCATATTCCACACTTTGATTCAAGTGGGTTATGAACTCCCACCTAGCCCTTTCTTATATTTTATGTAGAGACAGGGTTTTGCTGAGTTGTCTTGGGCCTCGCTAAGTCACGGAGGCTGGCTTTGAACTCTCGATCCTCCTGTTTCAGCCTTCAGAAGCTGCAGGGATTACAGGCGCCACTGTGCCTGGCCTGTGTAAATTTTGAAAGGTGCTTTATGCCCCTATTTAGCATCTAAGCAGTGCCCCAGTCCTCCTTCATCCCATTTCACCTCTCCAGTAACTAATTCATTTTATTGAGATCTGTATCCTGAAGTCAATTGACTTCTAGAACAATTATAGTGGCATGTATTTCCCCAGAGGATTGTTTTGCATTGTAACTAGGTTGTAGAATTCTTTTCAGCAGCCCTTTTATAGTATTATGATCAACCCCGATGGCCAGTTTCAGTTTGTGTTGCCCCCGCCTGCCCTCACCTGTCATCCTGACCAGCATGGGGCTTCTCTAGAGCGTGAAGGACCCCCCCACCCCATTCCATTTCCATCACCACGCACCCCCCCCACCATGCGGCGGTAAATAACGAGGCACTGGTGTTGATTATATTTATTCGTTTATTAAAATATTTTAAGAAGCAATACTTTATTAACTTTGAGGACTGGTGTTCCATTTTTGGGGGGAAGAAGAATAAGCACACTTTCATGGAACCTTTTCTTTCTGCTTTTTTTTCCTTTTACTCATGACTATCCCAGCTTCCTCCCCCAACCAGTCCCTGGCCCTGCTGCTTAATTGCAGGGGCCTCCAAGAAAACAAAAACACAGAAGACCACAATGGATCACAGGTTAACATACAAATAGACAAATGCAATTCCACAAACCATATAGCCAATCAAGGTCCCTTATAGGATGGAATGGTGCGAATGGGTTTGGTAGCTTTGGTATTCGTGTCTATCTCTTTTGAAACTAAAATCCTTCCATTTGCATCCTGAGGGAAGTCGATGTTGATCCCAACTGTTTCTTCTGGCCAAACTTATTATTAAATTGAAAATCTCTTCCTTACTATTCCTTTGCCCTAGCATAGAGGGTCCTTTTTTGGATAGCTGCTGAACTCCTTAGTCCTGATACCAGAAGAAGTTGGTGACAGCTCAAATCTATTTGGCCTTCCCCCATACTGTTCTCCTCACTTACCCACCTCATACGATTTTCAGAAAGTGCTACCAAAGATACAACCATACTTTAGAGCTTTGGCTCCTAATGATTTCTGAACATAATTGAGATGTATATTTGGTGTCTGGTCCCACCACCTGAGCAATTGTATTCCTGCAAGTGGTTAATCTCATTCTGAAAGGAGCTTATACCCTCAGGAGCTAAGACAATTCCCTTGAGAGAGGGATCACTCATTTTTTTTTTTTTTCCGAGAGTACTGCAAGAACAGGTGCTTCCAAAGCTGTCTCACTAACTGCTAACTAAGTCACTTTAGGAGGAATCTTAAATGACCTCACAAGCCACACCTGCTCTTGGACCCCCATCATATATCAGTTCTGCTCCATATTGGGCTTTAGCTCCCAATCCTGGTTGTTTCATTCAATATCTTTCTGACTCAGGGTGGGAGGACAGGGTGGATGAAAGGGAATCCAGATGGGAAAACAGAGCAACAGCAGCAGCACACTTTACAAAGATCTATAGCACTTCAGCAAAGTAAGCACAAGAGATGGAGTCCTATTACAGTTGACTATTATTAGTGATAAAAATAATTACAAGAGATAGCCCTGCTTAGTCGTTGCCAAGATAAGGCTACACTTTCCCAGTATTTTCTTCTGTTTCCTTAATTTTGGTCATTCAGAAATTTTTCCATTTTGAAAAGGCTCTCCTGCAAAAAAAATACAACTCAGTTCCCAACTCTGTGAGTGTGTGCACAGGTGTTAATTCACTCAGCCAAGGAGGAGCTAAGATGGCCTGCAATGGTGACCCTTCTGATTGGATCTGACACCTCCTCCTGGGAAGAAAGGGTGACACAAAGCCAGTGTCATGGCAACGACACACAATGACACACTCTCCACCTGAATACACACGATACATTCTGACGCCTCAGTAGGTTTTAGGTTTCTGTCATCATTTTCCATTGACTTTCTTCTCTAGTTGTAGAGCTAGGACTTTTTTGTTTGTTTGGCACAGCAATCAGACATTTGGGGACTATCCCCTTGTTAGTATTTTTCTCCTCACCCCTGCAGAGGTGGAACACAGGTGGCTGGTTTCAGTGGGTTAGGCTGGTGGAGTTCTAAAGTTGAGAACCAGTGCTTAGAGTTTGAATTGTGCACCTCGATGAACCAGCCATTGGACTGAGTCAGGTAATTGAGCACGCTAAGTTGGTATGAGAAGTGGGGAAAAGCCAGTTTTCTGGATTGATCTTGATAAGTGGAGAGGGACACTTACCTAAAGGTGTGAATTTAGGGTGGGGTGGGGATGAGAGGCAGGGCAGAGAAAATCTCTCTGGGCACCGGGATTTGATTAGATTTGTATGAATGGGAACAGACTTTAAAAAAAATTGAATTAAGGATTTGGAGCAATCTAGGCCAAGTTTATATTTTGTGAAGAATTTGGAAAAAGAACCATGGGGAAGCAGAGGCTTTTAGCCTTCATTTCCCCAGGCCCATGTTCTTTCTGGTCACTCTGAATGTCCCTCTTGTACTCAAGGAAAGAGACAAGATGGGAAGATCTGAAGGTGATTTGGGGACTGACCTGACAGCCTGTCCAGAAGATTTGGGCCAAGAGAGAGAATTTGAGGGGAAGGGCCTAGGCTGCGACTAGATTGTCAGACAGTCTGTAGCTAAGACATCTAAGTCACAGAGCTCTAGGTCTGGTTGCTCCATGTCATCTTTTGATTGGGGAAGGGGACAGCACAGGTTGGGGCAGTTGCTGATGTAAAGTCTAGGACAAATAGAGCAAAAAAGGCAGCATGCCAGCTTAGCCCCTTCTCCAGGGCATTGATGTTTTTGTTCCCCTTTCTGTGGCCTGGCTCAGAATTTTAAGGGGACGTCAGAATCAGCTGGACCACAGGTAGATCCCAGCTACTTCTAAGACGTTAAAAATGCACCAAAAGATTAGAAGCTCCACCAAGAACTAGGGCAGTTGGTAGAGATGTATGTGTGTGTAGGGTAATGGGTGGTGGGGTGGGATTCCTGGGTTAGCACAATAAATTAGAGGGTCACTTAGAGGTCGAGTTGTATTTTCAGTTCTTAAAAATATATATATGTATATTTACATCTTTATGTCTCTATATAATCTATACTGCAGCACAGCGGCAAAACATCTAGTTAAAAAATCCAGCAAGAATGCAGGCAGACACTCCGTGGAGGCATGCAGGCTAGGATCAAGGCAGTAGGAGGGGAGCCTATACGGTTGCCATGAGTGGTGAGTTCCAACCAATGGGCCCACCCAGCCACCAGAGCACCACCTGGACATGTGCAAAGACATACATGCACACATGGAAAAACAAAGGATTTGCAGAGAGAGGGGGAAGAGAGAGAGAGAGAGAGAAAGGGAAAGAAAGAGAGAGAGAGAAAGAGAGAGAGGAAGAACAAGAAGAAGAGAAGAGAGAGGGAGAGAGAGGGGTTCCTACATCAACACAGAAAGATTTCACATAGTCATTGTAACAGGCAAGTGGACAAGACCCTGGGACCTAGTTCTCATTTTAAGAAGCCTACTAGAATGGATCTCCTGCAGTTTCAAGCTACACTTGGCAGGGTTTGAAGGAGAAACACAGCCAGGCCTGGCTGTCCTGCCCCATCCCTTCATCTCCCTAGAGTGTCATTCATTCATACCTCAGCTTCTCCAGTTTCTCTGCTAGTCAGAGGAAACCATTCCCAGACTCCATGAAGAGGTGAACTTCCTTGAATCCTGTATAGATCCCAGGCCATTCATGAAGCAATTATCCCAATAAATACTGTAGTTGCTCAAAATGTACAAAGAGAAGGAGAACTGAACAAGACAACTCGGAACAAGAATCTTTGGCTAATGAGAAAATGTAAACCTCTAAGGAGACCTGATTAAGTCCAGGAAAAATGTGTAAGTGTAAAGAATTAGAGGGTCTTTCTTGGTGGTGCTCATGTTTGTTCTGAAATAATTTAGTCCAGCCTGTATTGAGGTTTTGAGAGTTTTTGTAGAGTCCTAAGTAGTGTGAGTTCTCCTTCCAACTTTCAAGAGCTACAGCTGAGATCTTGATGGTGTTGGAGGATCGTCACTTTTTGTTTCATCTTCACGATATCTGCGACGCCACAAATTACCTTCAGAGAAAAAATAAGTATAGAAATTATGAGGTTGGTACTTTGCCAGATGCCCAAAATGTATGAACCCCCCCAAAGAACAGAATCTGTTATGAGACAGACTGGTTTGCTTCTGCTGTAGCAACTATCTCTGAATCATCAGAGAAAACCAGCAGATACCAAATGAGCCAAAAATAAATGGAATGCACATATGAAACTACTCCATGAGTAGACTCCATCAGAGTCTTCAGAAATACTTTTAAATGCCAAGGTCTTCTAACTGGCAGATTCTTAGGGAATCAGACCAGTTAGACCACACCTGAGAAAATATAGCTTAATCCAAGAAAATCTCTCTTGGCATCTGTGCAAACTCTCAGATCCTCAAAGAAACAAAACAAACTGCTTCCCTCTAATCATGTTTTTCCATGTGTGCTACTGCTATAGCTCTCAAGTGCAGGTTACTTAGGCCCCAAATTTAGGAGAGACTGTGGATATCATTGAATTGATACAAGTGATAACTCTAAGAGAACCTTGAGTCCCAGTGACATCTCAGCAATGCTTAGGACCAATCATGAAGAAGGATGGGATGGAACCAATATTCAAAGCATGAAATATATTGAAATTTTTCATTTCCAGGAACTTTTACCATAACAGGGGAAATAAGTGTTTAGATAGGTCATAAAACCTGTTCTTGACTCTTAGGAATGGGTCAAGCAGAAAAAGTATCTACCTGATTGCATTTTTCTTTTAATCTATACATATCATAGAGGCTACTCAGCAACATTACTTCTCAGATTCTTCCCTTTCCAGTGTCCATATCATTTTCTAACCCACACCATGTCCAAAAGTCTGCTTGGCATTATATAAAGTTGGCTTCAAGCTGGCTCCATCATCACTGTGCCTGTGAATTTGAATGGGGGTTTCCAGTCCCTGGGAGGTACCCAGGCAATTAGGGAAGTCTTTGTGTTCTTTATACATGTAGAAGAGACTTACCAATAAAACCATAAAATCTTTGGCCTGATTTAGGCTTGTCTTCCTCCTCTAGCTTCTTCTTCCCCAATTTGGGGAACTTAATTTTCAACCTGAGGCTTCTACTATCAGTATCTGAAGATTTTTCCTAGAAAACCATAGCAAGAAGAAGGTCAAAATATTAGTCACCTAACATTCAGAAATAATTCCTAGGGGCCTGGCAATGTGATGGACAAGAATGGCTACAGAAAGCAGGCGATTCTATTCTCTATCCCCAAGTATGAGAGACAAGCTCGGTTACATGCTCTAGGAAAAGAACTGATCTTTACAAAAAGCCAGGTGTCTTGCTAGATACTTCAGTAAATGTTCTCATGTCAATCACCCAACCTGGCAAAGGTTGCTTATATTTATATTAGAAATGAGGAAGCAGAGTCTCAGAGAAGTCACTTGAGGTCACATTGCTAGAGATTGGAAGGGTGAGGTTGCTAGGGCCACTGTTAGCTCATGTAGCTCCTCTGCATGTATTAGGAAAAAAAAGTACTCCTTCCTTCAGACATGAAGTCGATGAGTGCCCACTCACTCCTTGACCACGTACCTTCCTATAGGGAACATCATGCCTCCCAGGCCACCTGCTTGCCTGTCTGGAATATAGAGTGGTCTCTAAACAAAGCTCTTAGTTATGTGGGTTCTCTGCTGTGCAGATCCTATACACTCTAATTCCTGCTCAGCCTCCTAGTCTCTTGCTCCTTTTACTACTGGTCTTAGTAAAACATCATTCTAAGGTTAACTTTTTTCCCCCTGAGGTTAACTTTGTTGCCAGAAAATCATCCAAACACATCTCAAGAAGCTTTGGGATTACCTTCCTTTGGAGACTATTTGTGTCTTCAATCCCCCTCCACTAGGAGCAGAGTTTCACCTGGCCTCTTTTTCTTCCTCTCTGGCTCACACTTACCCCCTCTCCTGTAATACTGCTCCTGGTTATACACACCAACCTTCAGAATTGTCTTTCAGGCTGGGTGCAGTGGCACACATCTGTAATCTCAGCAGCTCAGGAGGCTGAGGCAGGAGGATCGTGAGTTCAAAGCCAGCCTCAGCAATTTAGCAAGGCCCTAAGCAAGTCAATGAGACCCTGTCTCTAAATAAAATACAAAATAGGGCTGGGGATATGGCTCAGTGGTTGAGTTCAATTCCCAGTACCAAAACAAAACAAACAAAAAATAATTGTCTTTCAGAAAAGAAGGATGTCTCTTCATTCAACATCTTGGGAAGCCCAATGAATAACTATCTCTCATCCTGCTATTCCCCCAGCAAAGTGGATCTGAACCTTCTGTGACCTAAAGGTGAGCAAGTTTGGTGTCTAGTGAATAAGAAACATCTTCCTAGCTTTCTTTCTGTCCATTCAGTTGTTCACTAGCATGCCTTTTATTCTATGGAAATATTGTAGCTCAGAAAAGAGTTTATGTCTCAGGCTGGGAAGACTCATATATACATTGGAATCTCAGGGTAGGGGATGTGTTTGTCTCATTTCTCTCAATAACTAATGCATTTTCTAGATCAGAAGCTTGATGAGATAGAGCTGAACTGGGTAATAATAGAATGGGGTTTTTATGGTTTGGATGTGAAGTATCCCCCAAAAGCTCATGTGTGAGACAATGCAAGAAGGTTCAGAGGAGAAAAGATTGGGCTATAGCCTTAACCTAATCAGTGAATTACTACCCGAATGGATTAACCAAGTGATAAGTGGGGGCAGGTGGGGTGTGGCTGGAGGAAGGGGTTGATTTGGGGCATGGCTTTGGGATATATATTTTGTGTCTGGAGAGTGAAGTCTCTCTCTCTCTCTCTGCTTACTGATCACCATGTGAGCTGCTTCCCTCTGCCACACTCTTTCACTATGATGTTCTGCCTCACCTTGAGTCCTGAGGAATGGAACTGACCTTCTATGGACTAAGATCTCTGAAACTGTGAGCCCTCAAATAAACTTTTCTTCCTCTATGGTTGTTCTGGTCAGGTCTTTTAGTCATAGAAGCAAAATAGCTGACCAAAACAGGAGTGCAATAAAAGTTTACTTCCTTTGCTGTCTTAACATTATGTTTCCTTCCCCAGAGAGCTATTGATCAAAAGCATCAGGTACAAACAGCCTTGGAAAGTTCTAAGGTCATTAGAGAAAGTTATTAAATATTTTAATACATGAATTGGAACGGGATGCAGTGGCACACACCAGTAATCCCAGTGACTCTGGAGGCTGAGGCAGGATTGCAAGCTCAAAGCTGGCCTCAGCAACTTGGTGAGGCCCTAAGCAACTTTGAAAGACCATGTCTGAAAATTAAAAGAAGAAAAGAAAAAGGGCTGGGGATGTGACTTTGTGGTTAAGTGCTCCTGGGTTCAATCCCCAGACAACACATACACAAAAAGACATAAATTTGTATATACATTTCCTCCAAAATTGTACTGTGTCTCTATATACCACTCACATGCATATAATTGGTGTATAGAGACAGAAAACAGGTATACTGAATAGAGGGGCTAGGGATTCCAACAGGTTGAAATGAATGGTTCTATGGTAGGGAAGTTTTGAGGAATTTTTCATACCATAAAGAAAATAATTTACCTTGTGACAGGTGAACATCTTTGGGTCGTTCAATTGATGAGATGGGACTATTTTTCAATCTTTAGAAAGTGTTCAGAGTTGTTAAAACATGACAACATCCTTGCAACTATATTGGAACAACTGCTTATATGCTTGATTTTCTTTTAAACCATGTACCTGCTAAGGAGAGCCACTGAGAGGGCCTGCTCTCTCAGCAGCAAGAGAGGTTATATTTGGAAGATTTAACTACCAGTATGGCCTGGACACTGGCCATAGAGTAACTGCAGTATGAACTAACCATTATGATAGTTGTTGTCTGTGAACAACTGGTATGGCCATGCTGGTTCATATCAGATGAAGTTCAGCCCTGGCATAGGTAACTGAGCAGGGAGGGGGAATCTGCAGCCATGAGAACACCATAGAAAAAAAAAACAATCTTTCTTCTTCCTGATAATCTCTTGCTATAGAGTGGCTCTTCTTTCTTGTTGTTTCCCCATGGTCACCTTACATTTCATGTTTTCTGTTTCATTCTTTCACTTATGATGAGGAAATGGGTAGGAAGAAGCTCTGTTAAAGCTGAAGCTGGACTCCTGCTGCATCAGCCACCATGTCCTGACCCACACTGGAAGGTAAGGCACCAAGGAAGAATTCCCTATCCCTTTATTGTCCATTCCCCATGTTACGTACCTCCGGAACCAGGATTGGATTCATCCAGTAGATCTCTGATAACTTTTCAAACTCCTGACTCATGACATCCAGGGCATTCTGTAGTGTGGCCTCAGCCTCAGCATTTCTTAGCTAGAGACAAGAAAAACAATGAATGACCAATGCCTTGCACCCTGCCTTCATAGACTCTTGCCCTCTCCTGTACTCCCAGTCCCTGCTAGTGGGGGACAACTGGGAGACAACTTTTATCTCCTTTGGATGGCAATCAGGCTCTTTTCTTTCTCAACAGGAAGATCCAGGAAACAAACAAGTGGTGGGGCACTCCCTGCAGTTGGGTATGCTCAATTTGGCAAGCAAAGTCTTTTTGTCCAATATCACTGAATTCTTCCCCTACAACTTAGGGTCAAGGACAAGGGTCCTACCCTTAACCTCTAGTTGCTGGAGCTTCCCAGTGTCCTCTTGAATAACAACTGCCAAATTTTGAGCACACAGTCTATGTCAGGCACATGCATACATAATTTCATTTCACTTTCCCAATATTCTTATAATACCTTACAAGGGACCATGGTTCCAATTTCATAGTTGAGAAGGCAGACTCAAAGAAGCTTAATGCTCAGGATCACATAGCTAGACAGAACCCTCATTGGTTTAATTCAATACTCTACAACCTATACCAGAAAGGACAGATGGGGTGCTCAGATGTTGGGGGAATCTTTATTACACACTTACTGTAATTTAAAAACTATATTATGTATTAAGGAGAGTGGGCTAGAGAGAGACTGGCTCAGATTTTCCCTTCCTGGCAGAGGGTCTGCCTCCCCAGACTGTTGTAGCCCCTATGCTCTTGGTAATTAAGAAAAAAAGTTTCAGATGGTTTGTTCTATAGGTTCAGGAAACCAAACTTAAGTGCTAACAGTAATCCCCAACACCCCAGGATGAACTCCTTACAGTGCATGGGAGACATAAAATAAATTCTTTTGAGACCATCTACAATTCAGAAGAATCGAGTGCTAGACCAGCAACACAGGTGAGATCATTCTTGCCCGGGTAGATAATGAGCTGGGGACACAGAAGCACGCTGATATATTCAGCTCTGACAGAGCTAAGCTACACTTGTCACTTGTTCACCTAACCTGACCTCACCTCTCCTGCCCACCATGCCATCTATTTTATTTTTATTTTGGTACAAGGTATCGAACCCAGGGGAACTTAACAATTTAGCTACATCCCTAGCCATATCTAATTTTGAGACAGGGTCTCATTAATTTTCTTAGGGCCTTGCTAAATTGCTGAGGCTAGCTCTGAAATTGCAATCCTCCTGCCTCAGCTTCCCAAAGTCCTGCACCGCTGGGCCCAGCTTCCAGCTCTACTTTTAATCTGGCATGTCTGTGGCTTCTTGCTGTGCATGGGCCACTTGCTGCTCTAGTCATAGGTAGTCTTGCTGGCTGTCACAAATAGATGGCAAGTGAATGGGCAGGGGATGGGGTGGGAAGTTCTGGCCAATCAGGACAGTATATAAGGAGGAGACCAGACAGTATTCAGAACTAACTTCTTTTTCTCTATAGCTAATGACTTAGAATAATACAGAGTGGCCTAGATACACAGGAAAAGTATATTCCCAGTAAGGGAAGTGGGAATAATACTGGGTGGAATTCATTTTATTAAAAATCTACATATGCATATGAGAGAAAACATTTGACCCTAGATTTTCTGAGTCTGGTTTATTTCACTTAGCATGATTTTCTTCATTTTAGTTAATATACTAGCAAATGTCATTATTTCATTCTTATTTAAGGAGGGATAAAATTCCATTGTGTATATATACTAATTTTCTTGATCCATTCATCTATTGACAGGCATCTGGGTTGATTCCATAATTTGGCTATTGTGAATGGTGTTGCTATAAACATTGAAGTGCCTGTATCACTATTCTATACTGATTTTAGTTCCTTTGGATAAATACTGAGGAGTGGGATAGTTGAGTCATATACTGGTTCTATTTCTAGTTTTTTAAGGAATCTCCATACCACTTTCCAGAGTAGTTGTCCTAATTTCCAATCCCATTAATGATATATGAGTATATCTTTTCCTCCATATCCTCGTCTGGCTGAAGTGAGATGAAATCTCAGTCTATTTTTGATTTGTATTTCTCTGATTGCTAGAGATGTCAATTTTTTCCCCATATATTTGTTAGCTATTTGTGCTTCTTCTTGAGAAATTTCTGTTTAGTACTTTTCCCATTTGCTGATTGGGTTATTTGTATTTTTGACATTGAGCTTTCTGAGTTCTTTATATAATCTGGGTATTAATCTCCTGTCAGAGGAGTAGCTGACAAAGTTTTTTTTGCAAAATATGGAAAAGAAGGTGGTGGGGCTGGGATTAGATATCATAAAGATATAGGGAAGACCAGTGGAGTAGGAGAATGGCAGGGAGGAAAGAAGGAAGGGAAAGGGGAAGAAATTCGGACTAAATTTAATAAAATCACGTTATATACATTTATAAATGTAGCAAAGGGAATTTCACCTTTATGTATATGTAGGAAGTACCCATCAAAAATAATAGAGGAATGAAAGGAAGATCAGTAGAGTAGAGGAAGGAGAAAAGTGGGAGAGGGGAGGAAAAGGGGGAGGGAATGGGAATTGAAATCAAATTCCCTGCATGTATGATTTTGTCAAAATGAATGAAAATAGTATGTATCATTATAATGCTCTGATACAAAAAGTAAACAAGTAAAGAAATAAAAAAAAATCTACATCCCTGGAATGTTCCCCAGAGGCCCATAGGTTAAAGCCTTGGTTTCCAGCTTGGCACTCTTGGGAAGTGGTGGAAATTATAGTAGGTGGGGACTAACAGGAGGTCTTCTGATCATTAGGAGCATGCTCTTAAAGGGAATAGTGGGATCCGCCCTTGGAGGAGATAGTTAGATCCCAGCCCCTCCTCTTTCTCTGTTTTTCATTCCTGGTCACAAAATACACATCTTTGTTCCCATATACTCCCTGCCATGATGTGCTATCTTGCCACAGTCCTCAAACAATGGAGCCAGCTGATCATGAAACTTCCAAACTGTGAGCCAAAATGAACCTTTTCTCTTTATATGTTTATTATCTCAGGTTATTTGGTACAGCATCATAAAACTGACTAACACAATCTCCTTGCCAACACTACACAGCTTACTGCCCTCCTTCCTCAAGGGAAGGAATAACACAAAAATGAAACAAATCTGTCTTCATCCCACATCTATGACAGCCTTTCTGGAGATACATGTTCATTCTTGGTTAATTGCTGCCTGCTTTCTAGCCTCATTTGCATATATGTGTATGTGTGTGGGTCCTCACGAGGTCCTATGGAGTGGGAGCCTTATAAGTGTTCTGGAGGCCTCCACCCCATGGTATGATATGCTCAAGTTGGGTTGTAGGCTGGTATAGACCACCTGTCAGGTCATGAGCCTCCAGAAAGCCTAAGTAGCAATGAGAGGCCAAAATCTCATATTTCCTGCTGTTCAAAACAGCAAGAACACCGAGTTCTGTCTATACGTGTAAAGTACTTCTATTGCTGTTGTTTAAAGCTCAAAGAACCTATCTTGGGGATCAGATGCTGGGACAGCCTGGCCTGATTGCCTTAGCCACTCTGCCTCCTGCACAGTGTGCCAATTAGATGTGCAAATGAAAAGGGAAAGTGGTTATACTTCTTGCAATTTCAACTCAGAAGCCTTTCTTCAAATAAACCTTAATTAGATGAGAGGCAGGCAGAGCAGCTGCCTCAGGGCCTTAGCAGCTGACCTCAAGTTGGGGTGGTCATGATCGCTTGCCTCATTAGAGCATGCTCATCAAGTGTGCCCGTGGGTTTTGTGTTCTGAGAAACATGCAACTAGTCTTATAGCCCCCAAGAGCCTCAATCTCTTTTCTCTTTCACTAACAGCTACCATCTATTGAGCCACTATTCTGTGCCAGGCACTTGAGATAAAATAACTTGCTAGATCCTCACAATAATCTAGGGAGGTAGGGATTACACTTCATATCCTGTTGATATGGAAACAAAGACCCAGAGATGCAAAGTCACTCTACACAGCTAGTATTATGGGTTGAGTTGTGCTCCCGACCAAAGATATGTTGGAGTCTAAAGTCCCAGTACCCTAGTACCCTAGATGGAGTTAGGGTGATTGCAGATGTAATTAATGGTTAGGTTGAGGTTATACTGGATAAGGTAGGCTCCATTCCATTATGAAGGGGCTCCTTAGAAGGAGATGGTCACATGAAGACAGGCACATAGGGGAAATGCTATGTGAAGACAGAGATTAGAGTGATGCATCTACAAGCTGAGGAACATCAAAGATTGCCAGCAAAACACCAGAAGCTAAGAAGAGGTAAGGAAGGATTCTTCTACAGGTTTCAGGGGAGCACAGATCTACTAAAACCTTGATTTTAGACATCTGGCTTCCAGAACCTAGAGACAAGATGTTTCTGTTGTTTTAAGTCACCCGGTTCTTAGTATTTTGTTGTGGCAGGCTTTGGAAATGAATAGAACTAGTAAGTGGCAGATTTTGGATTTGAATCCCGAGTCCTCCCAATTTTCCCACCATTTCATATTGCCTTCTGACATGAATAAAGAAATATATAGAGACTTGAGAGACGCAGAGCAGCTCAGAAGAACTCACTCTTTTCTCCTGCAGTTGTATCAGGTATGATGAGAATACCCTACTTTTGATTTACCTGGTCTGGACCCAGGAGACATTTGTCAAAGGAGAAGGAGGGACCTTCTTTCAGGGGTATGGTAGTCCCTATGGATTAACATAACCCATGAAGTAACACAAGCAATGACAATTCCAGGTGACACAGAAAAGACTGCCAAGCAAGCACCTGCTCAGAATAATCCCATCTTGCCTGTGCCTGGAACAACGCACAGACTCTGACCATCTTTGGATAGGATGTTTTGCCCTCCCATGCTCCAACCCCCTGCACTCACCAAGTTTTCATCCAGGAAAGCTTTGGTGTCATCGTGGAGCCCTTTAAGACTAAATGTAACATCTACTGCGTCATTTCTGCTTATAGTCTAAGAGAAGAAGAAAGGACAAGAAAGGAAGGGAAAGGACAAAGACAGAGGAGTTGTTGGTTAGTAAGCATGCAGCTGGCTTCTCTGGGAAGGTAGAAGTAGGCTAGAGTAGGACATGGCTGTAGGTAAAAAAAAAGTAATATTCAAAATATGGCATAACTAGTAGAGTATGGGTACTAAGCACTCAGAACTGATGCCAGCTATATTGGTGTGCCCTACAAAGTGGCACAGCACAACTTGGCTTTTGGCATCATTGACTGGGTGCAGTAGTACAGGAAAATATGAAATATGCAAACCGGAGAGTAAATTTGAGGCCACTTGTCCCTAGGCTAAAACCATCTTTCTCATGGCAGGTGGAATTAGGTCCAATCTTCTCTCTTCTCAAAATTCTAGTCCTTGGTCTCCAGGGCTCTTCCTGCTAAGATCTGGCCCAAAATAGTTAACCCACATTTCATCATACCCTGATTATATGGCATTTTTTTAGCACTAAAATAACTTTTTTTTTTCTGTGCTGGGATCAAACCAAAGGCCTCTTATGGTTTAGGTAAATGCTCTACCACTGAGCCACATCCTCAGCCTTGAAGTTAATTCTTAAAATTATCATTTAAATCTTCTGGAAGTGGGTAAAGCCATGGGATGGCACATTTAAAATAAATGTCTAATCTGGACCTTTCCTTCAAGAAGAAAACAAAAACACCTTGGAACTTTGGTTTCACTTGCAGGTGTCCCTTTATTCAGTTATACAGGGAACCACATGGGATGAGGAAGGCCCAAGGCTAAGTTCCTCTCCATTCATTGGCCGTTTCTCCCCTGAGGTTGGTGTGGTGGATAGCCATCAGGAGAAAGGGCTAGTTCTCAGGCTGATCAAATCTGCTGTGGGATTCCCCCAGCAGCCATCTTGACCCTGTAATGAGTCAAGATGTGCCTGTCTTCCTATCCACTCTATCCGTCAGTTTCCTGCCATATAAATTTGCCCAGTTTCTTCATATCCAGCCTCTGACTCTTCTTCCCTTTGCATCTCCTTTCCTATCTAGGTTGACCCCATTCCTTCATCTGCCCCTTTGACCTTACCTCAATGGGAGTACAAGAAGCTGCACCTGCCTCATTGCCACTGTCTTGGCCATAAAATACATCATTCAGGATGGTAGCACTGGCATTCACAGAATCCATGAGGACAGACACATGCTGGTGGACCTTGCTGAGGTCATTGAGTCTGTAATAAAGCAAGGACAGATGGATGAGCTGGGAACTTAGGACTTCTGGCCTGGGGTGCTGATAGGTTGGGATAAGGGGAGAAATGAAAATCCTAGGTACTAGATTTGGACTTTTTATTCTATTTTGTTATGTTTGCTCTTTTCTAAGGAGCCACTGATGCTTGGAACTGTTTCTACTATTTTCTAAATATTCACTTTTGGCTAACTTGAATTAAGATACTAGGAATTTGAGTAGAGTGGGAGACTAAAATAGAGGAGAGTAGCTGATTCCAGAAACTCCAAGGTCCTCCTGATAATTAAGGGTGAGGATAAACATTCTTTGTATTCTTGGGTCTGGGGCAACAGGAAGACATCAAAATTCATCTCTGCCTAATGAGAAATTTCCAAGCTGGTTTATCGCTAAGCACAAAGAATATTTCCTCCATGGATTGTCAGGGAGTCAGTCAATGTTCTGAGCACTAGGTGAGATGCTTGAGGCCAGGTTCCTCAGTAGCCATTAGACAAATTGGCTGCTTCTCTCTATCCTTTCTTGAGTCTCCCATCCTTGTATCTAGGCCAGTCCACTTACCTGCTAATGAGGTTTTCTGCAAGCCGAGCTAAGTGCTGCATCTGGGCAAACTCCTCATCAGAGAGGCTATCATGAGATTCCTGGGAGTCCAGCTGGGGTTGAGGGGCAGCTTGAATTTCACTATGCTTGCATGCCCACGTTTTCATTGAATTCTCAAAGTCCTGGAGATGAAAACAGTGGCATATCCTAATGATTGCTGTAGCTAAGAGGGTACGTGACAGGTCTGTCTATGAGTCTGACATTTGTGGGTAACATGTGGGTACAATAGGTAAATGGGGAATGAGGCTCCTCTGTGCATTCCCCAGTACACCTGTCTATAGACCTACCTATCCTTTTATTCACCATCTCTTCTGTACTAGGCACTTTTAGTTTGGTCTTGAATCAGATATCTGCCTTCCAGAAGGTCCTATATAAGGGCATCATGACAGTTAAGAGAGTAGAGTTCATTTCATGCTTTTTCTTTGCCAAATCTAGGCAATATGTTTGTGATGGAGTTTAGAGCCAGACATACTTAATCCAATTTTCAATCATGCTTCTGTCATTTATCAGTTATGTGGCCATGAGCAATTTATTTAACCTCCTGAAATGGAAATAAATGTATCCATCTCAGGATTGTTTGGGGGTAGCATGTGAGGAAATACATGTAAAATACCCAGCACAAAGTAGGCATCTTATAAATTGGATGTCCTATCTCCTCTATTGCTGTTTCTATGGCCTGTTCGCAGGTCAGGATGGAAGACAGCCTCCTATCACTGAACAGCTAATCAATAATGACTCCTTTGTAGCTTTAGAAGATTTAGGTGAAGTGGGTGATATTTATGAATGCAGCATTTTAAGGAACCTTACATGAAGCTAAAGACCATCAATGCAGATGAAATGTATTGTTGAAAGAGCAAATTTCTCTATTACCATCTAAGGCCTAACTTTGATTCTCTGTGCAGTGGAGACTGGAGGATAATTTTGTCTAAAACTACAGGAGAGAGCTCTTTGCCTTGCTCTTTTGGACAGTGATTTGCAAGTGTCAATATATATCAGAATGTCTTGAGGAACTTGTTTATATATGCAGGCTCCTGAGAACCACTGTTCCCCATTCTGTTCAGTGGACCTGACATGGGTCCCAGGAGTATGCATTTATAACCAGCACCCCAGGTGACTGTGATGAAATGGCCATGCAGACTGCTCTTTGAGAAATTCTATTTGACTGGAAACTTTCAGTAGTCATATGACAGCTATGGATGATATAAAGTAGTATGAGAACCCAAGATGAGCCTCTCTCCTCTTACCCGATCTCTCATCAGCATCTGGGCAGCATTCTTGTATCTAATCTTGATAATTCCCGGCCTCTGGATCCAGGCCTCCCCATCCACCTGCACTGGGATACCTTCTTCACCGTCAATAGTTATCATCAACTCACGGCACTGTCAGAGAACAGGAGAGGAAATAGGGGAGAAAAATGAAGCAAGTTCTATAGACCAATCTGACAATCTCACAATCATGTCCTAAATGTGTACCTGACATAGCACTAGCAAACATATGGATTAGATTATGCCAGGGAGAAACACCCACTTCCTATGAGCTTTTCGCCCCTTTGGTCTCTACCACCTCTATCTCCAATATCAGCCCGTACCTTGGTACCCACCAGATAACCTGTTTCCTCCACCCTGAAACTCTTATGCCTAGTTAATTCCTGGGATTACCCTCACATCCAGGATTGCAGATGGAAAACTCACCCCCTTTCTAGTACCCATCTAACCCCTGCCTACCTGGGCAATGCGATGATGATGCAGGTTGATGATACGGGACACGGCCATCTGCACAGAACCAAAGATTGCCACTACCTCCAGCTTTCCGTCATCTATTGCAGGAGCATCATATTCCTAAGGAGGAAGAAATGGATTATATTTCCCCCCCTTGAGAAACTACACTTTGTGTATAACAAACAAGGGTGTTTTGAAGACTCCTGTTAACCATTTTCTAGTTCAAGAAAAGTGGAAAAACTGCATTCTTAAAAGGGGAAAGGATAAAAGGAGGAAGCCAATCTGAGTAAAGGACACTTGGGTCACAGCAATTCTTATCCACCTTTGAGATCATAACTCACAGCCAGTTTCTACCTTGTCCAATCCAACATCATAAATTCCCAAGGCCAGCTCTGGGATGGTAATTAGCCTAGCCAGGCATGGTGGTACATGCCTGTAATCCCAGCATCTGAGGCAGGAAGATAGCAGGTTTGAAGCCAGCTTCAGCAATTTAGTGAGGCTTTAAGAATCCTAGTGAGACCCTTTCACAAAGTAAAAAAAAAAATAAAAAGAGCTGGGGATGTGGCTAAGTGGTTAAGCACCCTTGGGCTCAATCCCTGCAACATAAACAAACAAACAAATAAATAAAAACCTGAGCCTACTGTGGCTGCTAATAGAAGTTTCCAGTCTATGTTCCCTCCTCACATTGTCCACTTCCCACTGTAGTCGACCAACTCTCCTTTCTGAGAGGACTTAGCAGGGTCATGCTTTTCTCCCACCCCATTTCTTGTTCCATACTCACTGCAGTCGCTGTGTTGCTTCCCCAGAAGTTGACACCTCCAGCATAACTGGTAATGTTGAGCACTACAATGCCTTGCAGGTTTGGCAAGGAGATGGGTTCTCCATCACACTGAAAGGAAAGATAAGCTCTCATTAGCTGACTTTCAGATACCAATGTGAAGGGACATTTACAGAGATGGGAAAAGGCTCTGTCTTCTCTTCATACTATCATTTGCTTATCCATACAATAGAAATCCATCTTTCTGCCTTTCTCCTATGAGCTGTGAGTGAGGATCACAGTTAAAGCTTGGTAATAACCAAGGATATAGTGGAAAGTTGATTTCCAAGGCCATGAGGTTTCCCTTCTCCATTGCCCAGGAAGGACCACTCCTTTTTCTACTAACCTCTAGATGCACTCGTTCTTCCAGTTTCCTGTAAGAGCGCTGCAGAAGTTCCTTGCTTCCCAGAAGGCCATACCATATCTTGTTCTTAAAGCGGCTGCTACAGGAAGACAAACAAGAGAAAGATGGTCATAAGGTGAATAATACAAAGATTAACGGAGCCAAGGCATGGTGGTGCACACCCATCCCAACGGGTCTGGAGGCTGAGGCAGGAGGACTGCAATTTCAAAGCCAGCTACAGCAATTTAGTGAGCCCTAAGCAACTTAGTGACACCCTGTCTCAAAATAAAAAAATAAAGAGGGCTGGGGATGTGGCTCAGTGGTTAAGTGTCCCTGGGTTCAATTCCTGGGTATCAAAAAACCCCAAAAAACTGGAGGGGCTGTTGGGATAGTGTAACTGGTGTTCTTATGCAAACACATGCAGGAATGAATCCCTGGGCTCCGCTGAAGCTTCAGTATACTATTGATGAATAAATTTTCCACTTCTCCTTGCTGCTAAATATTGGTCCCGACTTGGAACAAACAGGCTATATTTAGAAAGCAATGCTCACCAAAATCCGTGAGCATAGCTGGCTGATACAAACCAGTTACCCTGGCATGTGCCATTCCAGGAGTGTAAAATTTCAGCGGCCTAGAATCAATTTTATATGAAACATCTGATTCTTGGACTGCAATTTTTTGAAGCAGTGACTTTTCTGACAAAGTAGAGAACTTTTCCAAATACCATAGCCTTATATTAAATACTTAATTCAGTGTCATAGAATAAGGCCAGGCTTAGTAAGGAGCTTTTAGATAGTGAGCCAGTGGAGAGAATATGAGACACGTAAGAAATTGGGAGACTCAGGATGGTGTTGGAAAGAACAGGGTCCTGCTGACTGTAGGACCTCTGATAAAAACAGGTAGGCAGCTATAGTCATAGTATTGCTTACTATGAGCTTTTAAAGTACAGCCACAGATATGAGCTATCACATGAGCAACCACAGGGGATGAGGGTTTTTTTTTTTGTTTTTGTTTTTGTTTGGTACCAGGAGTACTTTACCACTAAGCTACATCCCCAGCCATTTTTTTATTGAGACAGGGTCTTGCTAAATTGCTTAGAGCCTCCCTAATTTGCTAAGGCTGGCCTTGAACTTGCAAACCTCCTGCCTCATGCACCCAAATCACTGAGATTATAGTTGTGTGCCACCTTGCCTAGCGAGGGAATGAGTTGTGAAATGTAAGGCTAGCACAACCTTATTTGAACCCTATTTGAAGCCAAAAATTTTCTGGGCACTTTAGTTTACTCATCTATAAAATAGAGGTTTAATTATATGGGAATGTAAAGCACATAGAGAAACCAAAACAATTCTGGAAAAAAATAAAGCAAAGTTGGAGGACTTTCATCTTCCAACTTAAAAATTACAATAAGGCCACAGGTATCAAGGCAATTTGTTACTTGCACAGGATAGGTACATAGATCAATGGAACAGAAGAGTCCAGAAATAAACCATCATTACATATATGGTCAATTGTTTTATGTATGTATGTATGTATTTATTTGTTTAGGTACCACAGGCACTTAATCACTGAGCCATATTGCCAGACCTTTTTAATATTTTATTTAGAGACAAGGTCTCCCTGAGTTGCTTAGGGCCTTGCTAAATTGCTGAGGCTGGCTTTGAGCTCATGATCCTCCTGCCCCAGCCTCCTAAGCTACTGGGGTCAATTGATTTTTGACAAAGATGCCAACACAATTCACTGGGGAAAGGATAGTTTTTTTTTTTTTTTTTTTTTAAACATGGTGCTGGGATAACTGGATATCTTCATGCAAAAGGGTTAATTTAGACCCCATCATAAAAAAAAAATAACTCAAAGTGGATTATCGACTTAAATGTAAGAGCGAAAACAATGAAATTTTTAGAAGAAAACTTAGGAGCAAATTTTCAAGACCCTGTGTTAGGCGAATATTTCTTTGATATGGCATCAAAAGCATGGATCATACAGGAAAAAAAAATAAGGAATTGGACTTTATCAAAATTCAAAACTTTAAAAATTTAGAACTTTTCACTAAGAAAATGAAAAGACAATCAATAGACTAGAAGAAACTATTTGTAAACCATCTATCAGATAAAATACTTGTTCCTCACCCCTGGTCTGTTCTGAGAAAGAGTTTCTAACAGCAATCGCAGGGGTCAGGTAGAGCGGTATGCCTCTTTTTATCTATAGTTTCAATTTATAAGGACTGTGAGGCTGCCTTAGGGTATGTCTGAAGTAGAAATGTACCACAAAGTGCCAAGCAGGCCAATGCTAGATAGGGTGAAATCAATGGGTCTAGAGGAACCAGATTAGGAATACCAAGAACAAATAGGGGGATCTTTGATATTTTGTAAACTTTCCAAGCAAGAACGGAACTAAAACTCCTGTTACAACCTAGTTAAGCTCTCACAGGCAGAAAAAAAGATAAGAAATTTGCTAAATTGAGTCAATGTAATCTGTTCTCAATAATACTAACACAGGAAGCTATTCTTATAGCAATTCACAGATTTAGACCATGATGAGAACTCCAAGTTCAGTATACCAGTGCAGTCATTACAGACTAGCCCAACATTTGGAGCAAGCTGAACAACTAGGCTAGTCTTGGGACCAGTGTATTTTACTTCCCAAGGAGCCCTTTCTTTCCGTTGCTTGTCTGAGAGGTAAGGGACATATGTGTATTGTCATTGCGTGTTTGCATGTAGGAAGGGGAGGAGGGTTTTTTCCCCCTTACTTGTATTGTCCTGGATGTTCTTCTCTTCTGGTGTTGAACTCCAGAGAAATTTTAGCATCCAGTCCAATTCCAAAGTAGTTGTTCATGACACACTTTTCTTTGAAGCGTCTGAAATGAGCCAAGAAAAGGAGAGAATGATGCAAGAAGGAAGTGATGCTGTCATTGGGTTGTAGACTTCATCTGCCTGATGGAAAATCACTGAGACAAGGCCTCTGCTGCATTAGGCACAATGCATAATGCCCTTGAGAGGCACATGTAGATGTTCTATTGTGTTAACAATGAGCCTGTCAGCTGTAAGAGAGGGTTCCCAGCCAGTTGGTAAGTGTCAATGTGATTGGGACTCAGTAAAAAAGTAACATTCATGATCTTACTCATCTTTAGAGGCCTCAAATATGAGTGACTCATATTTTCCAAATATAATAGAGGGAAAGAGAGTCATTGGCTTATTCTCATAATAAACTTTTGAGCATACCAGATACAAATGTATTATGGCAGTGAAGTCTACACTATTGCTTTTAGTGACGTCTGACTTCTTTGTAATACTTTCATATCAAAACGCAAAGTGACCACACATTTGGAGGGCACAACTGATAAAAGAGGACACATATGCACTCACCCAAAACCCAAGTAGACTTTTGAGTTTCCTGTATCCATCTAGGTTGTCAACATCAAAACTAGTGGGGTGCTAGAGCCAGGTCATACCAGCTCATGTAAACTGATTATGCATATCTGTTCCCAACTCTACCTTCAATGACATTATATTAGTGGCTTGAAATAGGCCAGGATGGGAGGTTTATACCAAGATTAAATCAGTGCTTCCCTATCTCTGAGAGCTGTTTTTTAAACATTTGCTGGCATACTATGTATCAAAGCTCACTGGGTAGACATAAACTTAAACCAGTGGTGACATGGGGACTGTGAAAATTGGAGATAGGAATAAGAATTGTTTTCTTAAACAAATTGCTTAAGAAAACAAATAATTTCTTGTTGTATCCTTTGGAGAATCTGAAAATGGATACAGTTCAGGTATTGAATCACAGATGATTTTTGTATTCATTACTCAACCGAGCCAACATCCCTCATATGAGATTAGCCTTAGCCCTGAAATTGGACTTTCTCTAACTGATGTCTAATTGATCTCCTTTTTTTAAATTTGTTTAATTTTTTTTTAGTTGTTGATGGACTTTTATTTATTTACTTATACATGGTGCTGAGAATGGAACCCAGTGCCTCACACATGCTAGGCAAGTGCTCCACCACTGAGCCACAACCCCAGACCCAACTGATCTTTTTAATGGAAGGCAAGATGAGAGAATGTGGAAGAATTTGGCTGCTGGTAATAGTCCAAAGGAGTAGGACTATTGAGACAGACGTCCTTAGATTTGCTACCTAGTCCCTTAGTGACTTCTTTAGTACTTCAACCATTTACGGTTAAAGGCAGCACTGGAAAAACAAGTCCTCTGAAATAACAACTAACATGTATTATGTGTTTCTAATAATGATAGTAACTGCTAACAATAACACTTAACTTTGAATGCCATGCACTGCTCATGCAAGTATTTTTTTCTGCAAGTACGTTTTATATATGAAAACAATAAATACAACAAACCTATGTTGCATGTTCTATTTATCTTCATTACATGTGAGGAACATGAGGATCACATTGGTTAAGCTACTGTGTCATCATACAACTAGTAAGTAGAGCTGGGAATTGACTCTATCCTAGACTGTGCTTTTAACCAGGAAGAAGACATCAAAAAGTAATTGGACTAGATACTTACATTGTTTCAGGTGTAAAATATAAGTGTTCCAAGTTAAGGTTATCTAGGTCTTCACTTTTGAGAGAAGGTATAGATGACAAAGTGCCACGACGAGAACCTAGATACAAAGGACATCTCTTTGGTGTCAGATGCAAACATTAGGAGCCTTTCTGCCTGCTTGTATTTGATCTTATTTTCCCTGTTGGGGGAGGGTCAAGCTCCATGACTTTCTCCTAAATAACATGCAGTGTGCTCATTGCAAAGAGGAGGCTCCTCTTAGATAGACTGGGACTTTCACTGAGGGAATAGTAAGGCTGGTCTGCTTCTTTGTTGGCAGTGAAAATAGCTTCAAATCTCTGGTTTCATCAGTACAGCCTTTTCAAAGTGTGTAATGGGATCATTATTCTGGTCATTGACACATGAGATTTCATAGTATAAGGTTTCTGGAAAAGGGAGGGGGCTCTCTACTGCAGAGTAGGATTATGATTAAGAGGATGCATGAAGAACATATATTTATTCTTTGGAAACTAAATGACATGAAGAAGTCTAGAATAACAGAAGAAGAAGAGAAAGATCCTTACGATGTCTTGGGCTCATCTGGTTAAAATCCTCTGAGTCATAATCTTCCAGGAAGAGAGTTGATGCAAAGTTCTTAACTGATATTGTCTGTCTGCTTTCTTCGTCCAGAACTATAGAGAAAACATGGAAGGAAGGAAGGGAGGGAGGGAGGGAAAGAGGAATGGAAGGAAGGAAGAATAGAGGGAATGAGGATGGGTCACATTTATTGAGCATCTCTTTTGTTAGTTAATGCTAGTCAATGTGTGTGTAGACAATGGACACTCCCATTTGACCATCATATCTCCTCCATGATGCCCTTTGTACTCTCTTTCCATTTTTCTCTTTTCTTTCTTTTTCTTCTTTGGTTTGGAGTGAGTTTCACTATGTTGTGCATGCTGGCACAATTCACCATCCTCCTGTGGTATGCATGCCTGTGCTCAGCTTGTCTTGTGCTGTTGCCATGGCTTTTATAGCCATGTCTGAACTTTCTATATCTTCCTGGTACTCTTTTTTTTTTGTCACCCATATACATTATTGTGAGTAGAAGCTTGGGACCAGGGAATTGGGGAGTAGGGTAGGAAACTCTCTGCTCTTCCACCTCCATTCTGTTAGTTTGTTTACTTATAGGACTTTTGTCTAGACTTGGGTCTCTAGGAGCATGCCACTCTTTTACTCAATTATCTCACCCATACCTAAAACACTTGGGATATCTCCTTCCTTTCCCCAGCCTATGTGTGGTACAGCTCAGGTGCTCAGCCTATGCCTTAGCTCATAGGTTCAATTCCTACCCTACCAGGGAAACTTGATTTGTTCCATAGCTACAAGCCAAACCTATAAATCTAACATGTTGATGGAGCAGACGGAGCTTCAGTTGTGACAGAGTGGTGGGATGTTCAGATTAATCTGATCTTCATTTACTTGGAAACTAACTATAGAAATACAGGTGAACTGACTGTTGAATTCATCCACAATGCATAAGGGAGACTTTCTTTATTCCTTATAAACATGGCTGAGGTTTTGTACCTACAGGTACCAAGGCAGGGGAAAGTACCATGGCTAAAAGTCAAAGGTCAGCCAAAAGTCCTGCTACTCAGGACTTCTGCTCAATTTCAGTAATTCAATTAGAACCTGTTTGGTCTTTTACCATCTTCCGATCTGATTTTTAAAAGAAGCATTATGCTCTATATGTGTATTAAGGATTGTAATGCATTCCACTGTTGTCGTGTATTTAAAAAAATAATAAAATCAATAAAAAAGAAAAATAATACTAATAGCTATTTAACAGTGCTGGGGGAGAAGACTTAAATAAAGCAATATACCATGTTCACAAAATAAACAAACAAACAAATAAATAAATAAAGCATGTGTGGAAGAAGTGGTCACCAAAATGTTAGGTGAAGAAGTTGGGGGGGTTGAAAAGGTTTTCATACTGAGTCAGAGATTATATGTTCTTCTGAGTCCTGGGTAATGACAATCAATGTGAGGGTCATCAGGATTACTTTGAGGGCCTTATCTCTGATTAATATTTTGTCAGACATGCAGACATGAACACCATTTCCTTTTTAAATGAGTAACAGGTTGAAAACAAACAGGAGCACAGGTTGCATGACTAGGGGTGGGAGATAACAGAGCTTTGAGCCAGGTCTCTTAGCACCCGTAATTGTTTAACATTAGTGTTAGTTGACTGCCTGGGAGATAGGAGTAGCCAAAGTGGCAACTTATCATGACTGAAGCATTTCAAATTAGTACTCTGAGGACTGACTTTCAATACAATATGAATGCAGAATCTAATCAAATTTAGGTAGTGAGGTCAGATAGCAAACCCAGAATGAGGGAAACCAATCGACCATCCATTGGAACCTTCTCTTTCCCCTACTTCAGTCATCAAAACCCCAGGCCCCATACCTTGTTCAACCTGGAATATGATGAGCTTCAAGGATTTCTGGAGATTCTGAGCCTTTGTGGCCAGCTCCAACTTGTACTTGGCTATGTGGTCTACTTGAGGGATGAAGGGCTTTCCATCTGCCTTGCCACCATCTGTGTATACTGTAGCACTTTTCTCAACAGAGGTAGCTGCTGCCTCCTCAGCCAGGACATCAATCAGGACACTGAGCTTATCATACATTAAGTCGCTCTGTAAAGCGAGGAAGGGAATGGCTCATTGTTATGAGGGACCAGAGACTGACAGGACAGAATAAGGAGTTGGGGTAGGGGTAGTGGGAGAGATGACAAAATGTAGTAGCTTTCTGAGCATAGAAAAATCGCATATGAGGAGATCAAACTCATGGGGAAAGAAATACAGGGCTAGATATGATGAGATACTCAAAGGGTATTGGGGGAATCAAACATGCTTCATTTGTTTCTGAGCAGCCTCAGGCATCAATGTATGTTTCCAAGTCTTTCTTGAGCCAGACTGGCCTATAAAATGATGTATAACATGGAAAACTTTAGGAAAGATAAACATTTCTGGATGGCATGTTCATGGGCACGCTCATGTGGATGTGAATGGTCTCTGCACCGGTGTTGCTAGCTGCTTTTGTATGAGTGTATGCTTGAAGATATACATTTGCTGCATGATTTATTATTTTGATTCCTAGCTTCATCACTTAATAGTTTATGATGTGAAGCAAATTACTTAACCTCTTTATTCCTTTATATTCTAGGGAAGCTGTCAGGTTTCAATAAATTAATACATTAAGAGCACTTAGAACAGTCTCTGGCAAGAATAAGTGCAATGTAAGTGTTAGCTATTGTTGTTACAGAGGTTAATGCAGGCATAATTCTAGTGTGTGTTTATATGTGCTTATTTTCAAGTATGTTCTGGTATATATACTTAGTGCACAGTTGTGTCTAGTTGTGGGCAGATGTTTGGCATATGCTAGGTACACAGCACGTGTGTATGCATGCATAATGCCATTCTTTATTTGGCAAAACATGGAGGGTGACAAGTTTGAACCCTCCCCATCAGGAAGGCTCAACAGTTGCCCTTCCTTGTTTTTCTTTTACAATTCCCAGTAAGAGGCACATTTGCTTTGTTTAAAAAACCTGAAATACTGCCATTTTAATATGTAATCAACATAAAATTATTAATGGGTTATTTTTACATTCCTTTTCTCCATGATTTTTATTACACATATTAATTGTACAAATTCATGGATTTTACTGTGATATTTCCATATATGCATATATCATGTATTGATCATGTCCTCCCTCCCTTCTGTTCTCTCTCACTTTCCTCTCCCTCCCTCTTCCCCCCAGTCCCTATCTCATTCAAGGAACCCTTATATGCTGTTGATGGTAATGTAAATTAATACAGCCACTATGGAAACAATATGGAGGTTTCTAAAAAAAATAGAAATCCCATATGATCCAGCTATCCCTCTCCCTATTTTTATTATGGCACTGTTTATAGTAGCTAGGATATATAATTAGCTGAGGTGTTCTTCAACAGGTGAATGGATAAATAAAATATGGTCTATATACACAATGGTGTATTATTCAATCATAAAAAAGAATGAAATAATGTCATTTTCAGGAAAATGAATGGAACCAGAGGACATCATGTTAAGGGAATAAGTCAGGCACAGAAAGACAAGTATCATATATTTTGTCACATTTGCTTTCATTGTAAAAAGGGTCCCTGGCTCCACAAAAAGTGGAGGACAAAAAGACAGAAGGAAAAGAGACTTACCTTCAAAATCACAGACTGTACTGCTGTGTTGTTCTGCTTTATCTGACTCCAGGCCTTTACAATATCTTCCACAAAATCTTCCACTGTTGAGCACAAGAATCTGGAAAGAAGATAGATGGCATGATGTGACATGGACCATGCAGTCCAGAGCCCTATCTTCCATCTTTTTCTGTCCCTCTTTCCTCATCTCTCCTCCCTTTCTCCCTGTCTTTTTCTCTCCAACCGTCCCCTCTTCACTGCCCCCCCATATATATGGTAAAATATGCTCCACTTCCACTTTAGTTCAGTTTCAAACCACTTTCCAAATGAAGTATCTAAGGCAGGTTGACTAGGATTTTTTAGTCCTAATTCTGCATTTCCAAAATAGAGCATTTATTTGGTTCAAGTTAGGTCAGGTTTTTGCCCTGGGTCAATCAGCTCTGATTCAAGGGCCTCGATAATAAAGTATAAACATAATGACATCAGGAGGGCTCTCCCTGTGGGGACTAGTTTGCAAAGGAGAGTGTGATAGCTTGAGTATGAACCGGGGAAGAATGAATGACTGACATATTTGGGAGGAGGAATGTGTTGCTCAGGTTATGAAAGAGCAGCTATAAGTAGGTAGGTATTATAGAGATCTTTCCCAGTGTCAAAGATGGAAAGCATAGTATATGAGCTGTTGAATGGTCTAGAGTGTTGCATTTCCCTCCTGTGACCTTCCTTCCAAATACCTGTCTTGCAGTTTTGTGCTTTTGGAGTGGCTGGACCTCTCACCTCAATAGTATCTTTTTTTCTTAAACTTTGTATTCAGAAGGTTTGAGTTGGGAGAGATCCAATTAGGAAATATAACTACACACTTTCCTTGGCCTCAAAAACCCAAGGTATCAAAATGAGCCCTGTGTATGTCCTTGGAAGAGTCTGTGAGGGGCAAAATTACCCCTAAAGAACCAGAGAGAAAGGAATACTGACCTGGTTGCAATGATCATCTCCGTGGGGAACTTGGCCCTCAGGACTTTGTTCAACTCAGTGGTTGCAGATTCTACGTGTTGGATGGCAGCAGTCTAGGGGAGGAAACAAGTATAGAGCCCTGAAGTCTTAGCACTGTGACCTAGCATGCTGCCCATCCTCACCCACCCCACAGCCTAATTATTTCTTCCTGACTCTTGTGAACAACTCAATTGCCTTTCTGGAAATAATCACAATCAAAGAATTCTTGTTGAAGGTCCCCAGAGATAATCGTGGCTCTGCAGTCATTCTAAAAATTAGAGATATATTCTGTGTCTTCTTATTTAAATTAGTCATCAGAAACTCAGATGAAGATTCTTCAGATACATACTCCTCCTATGTTCAGGAGCCCTAGGTTTCTGTGATACACAGGTACTCAAAGAACCATAGGGAAAATGCTAGGTGCCCTGAAATCCAGGAAATGGTGGAGAAAAGATGGCAGAAGGGAGTTAGGTGTTGAGTCCCGACTTCCTTATAACACAGAAAGGAGGTAGTGAAGGAAAAGCAGGATTGAGAGGTGGGTGGCAAAATAAATGCTGTAAGACTCAGTATTACAAACTTTGAGATCTGGAGAGACTGGAAGATAGGTTATCAGAATAGAAATGTGTGCAGAGTTCTCCAACCCTGAACCCAGACCAGGGTGGGGGCAAAGGGGAGGGGCCACAGAGAGAGAAAGAGGGAGCAGAAAAACTCTTAAGCTCACCCACTTCAAAACATTTGGAAAGGCAAGTAAAATTTCAAGTGTGGTGGGAATGGCAGTGTCCTTGAAGCAGATAACAACTTAAAACCAAATCATGAAAAGGAAGCTGTGCTGGGGGGTCTGCAGCCATTTTGTGGAGCCCTCAGCCAACCAGTCACCCCTTTCAATCAACAAGGCATCTTCCCACATCCAGACAGCTGCAAATTAAACCCAGGAAGTCCTGTGCAGAGACCTCTTCAGAATCTGGCTAGAAAGAACTTCTAGAGGAATTGCTGCTACTGAGACTCCCTCCCCCTCATACAAACAAGGGGAGTAGGTGGAGCAGACCTGCATGGGGAAGTGCACCTAACTCAGTACTCTGCTCAGCCTCCTTGTGGCCTGGGCAGAGGTGGAAGGGTCTGCACAGCTTCCATGGACCCCAGCAGAAATGGAGAAGCAAGGCAACTTTGACCCCAAGCAGATAAAAGTGGATCCATTAGAAATGCACCAGTCCTGGCTCCTGAGAGTGGGAGGAAGCACCATGGGAAGACTAGGGACTGTCCCCTTGATCATAGGACTGTACCAAAGGGAAGCTGCCTGAATATCTAGTAACATAGATATCCAGTTTCCAGATGGTGGCAATGGGCAGAAGGCTACTAGGAGAAGTTGCATGAGTATCGCAGGATACTAAAATGGAAGGCACCCACAACCATAGCCAGAGGGAGGTCAGCTAAGGGGGAACATTGCCTGATCCAAGGCAGCAAGGAGTGATTGCTCCCAGCCTGACCCATGGTCACAACTGGCCAGTGAAGGGACATTATTTGGACACTGGCTAAACCTTGCATCGGAGGAAACCAACGCCCACTGTTCACAACCTGGGGCATTGGAAACTAGAACTCAAGTGAACCACTTGAGTCCCTTTACTACAAGACCCCAGAGAGCAGTGTTAGCTGGGGGGGAATACTTCTATACCACAGAAAACCCAGAAAAAATCCACACATCTACAACCAGAGGGCCTGTGCTTGTACACAGCCACAGGCAAGTTATCACCATGAAAAGCATCCTAGAGAGGGGAGCAGGTATATAGTGACCCATAGCAATCACAGGGACACTCCAGAGCCTGCATCCTAAACTCCTGCATACAATAGAAACAGCCAAGCCTCTGTACAGTCAGCTACAGGCCCCTTAACAGACAAACCACAACCAGCTGATGGGAGGCCCATAGCAATTAGGGAAGTAGCTCATGTGCCCCTGAAACACTGGAGGGATCCATAGCCAAAGATTGATGCACATCTGCTAAATAAGCAAACTCCAATGAAGCCAAAGTCAAGATTCAATAGGAATTTTATTCACCTTGTATTGGTTTACTATAAATAATTCTAATGTGAACTTTGATCATATATATCACTCTTTAACTTGATTGATAGTTGTTACCCTAGTAGCCAATATTGAACCTACATTGACTGCATTTCTCCTAATTGTTTAAACCATCAATTGGAATCAATCTATCTTTGATTTCTGAGCTCTAGTTTATACTTGCTCCTCTTACCACCTATTCACCCTCTTACATTATCTGCTACTATCTCAAATACCCACCATTCATCTTTTTCTCCTTTATACCTTGGTGTGTATTATTTTGTATCTTTTCTTTTTCCTTCTTTCTTTCTTCCTTCCTTCCTTCCTCCATCCCTCCTTCCCTTCTTCCATCCATTCATCCTTTCTTTCTTCCTCTTTTTTGCCCAATCTTTCTTCTTCCTTCCTTTCAGCTCTCATATGTTATAGCAATTTTAATCTATTTAATAACAAATTGTTCATCTTATTTCAGAAACTCGCTACAAGTTTTTACCTGAATTACAGGAACAGTGGAGAACAATGTCAACAAGTTTTTCACTTTTCATAAGGCCAAATAGTAGTACATGCCTTGACTCTGAAGTGATTGTATGGAGTAAATAGGATTTAGTGGTATCTCTCAAAGTGGTGCCAAAATTGGGATGAGCACAGGTCACACACTGAGTTGAAGTATCATATCTGGATATTCACCCAACCTAGAGTTCTTAAGAGAAAGAACTTAAGAAGGTAGTTTTTAAGTACACAAAGTAGTTCCTTGCTCAAAAGAAGTGGTAACTATTCCAGTAGATGATTGAAAAAAAATATGAAAAAGCAAGAAAACAAACCACCCAAAACATCCCATAATGCCTAAACAACTGACTACATCAACAGCACAGTGTAGGAAATGTCAGGGAAAGAATTTAGAAAGTTATAATTAAAATGTTCAATAAGCTAAAAGAAGACATATGGAGTAAAATTAGAGAAAAATACAAGGAACGAAAGATCACTTCAATAAAGAGATAGGTATTCTCAAAAAGAACTAAAGAGAAATACTTAAAATGATTCAATGAACTAAATTAAAAATTCAATGGAAAGCTTCACGAATAGATGAGACCATTTTGAAGATAGGTTTTCAGGTCTCAAAGTCAAAGTGTATAATAATGAAAATAAAGATGACCATGAAGATAGTAAGAGACTGTCACCAGACTATACAAGAAATCTGGGATAACATCATTAAGCCAAATTTAAGAAAAATCATCAGGGTAGATGAAGGCTCTGAAATTTAAGCTAAAGGGACACACAAATATTTCAGTGAAATAATATCAGAAGATTTTCCAAAGCTTGAGATAGATATTCAAATACAAGAGGCATATAGGACTCCAAATATACAAAATCTCAATACACCCACTCTAAGACATATTATAATGAAGATGCCTAACATGCAGAATAAGGATATAATTTTTTAAAGCAGCAGGAGAAAAATGGCTGGTCATACTTAGAGGTAAGCCAATCCTGATTTCAACTAATTGAAAAGACCCTAAAAGCCAGGAGGGCTTGGAATAATATATATGAGGCCCTGAAAGAAAAAAAAAAAACAGTTGCCAACCAAGAATACTATGTCCAGCAAACTTAAGCTTCAAAAGTGAAAATAAAATAAAACCCTTCTGGGCTGGGGATGTGGCTTAAGCAGTAGCACGCTCACCTGGCATGTGCGGGGCACTGGGTTTGATCCTCAGCACCACATAAAAAATAAAATAAAGATGTTGTGTCCACCGAAAACTAAAAAATAAATATTAAAAAATTCTCTCTCTCTCTCTCTCTCTCTCTCTCTCTCTCTCTCTCTCTTTCTCTTTAAAAAATAAATAATAAAACCCTTCCATGAAAAACAGAAGCTAAAAGAATTCATTACAAGAAAGCTGGGATTATAGAACATACCCAATGAATAGTTTCATAAAGAAGAAATGAAAAATAAAAATGAAAACCATGATAGAGATGAATTAAACTACAAGAATAGTCAATTAAAGAAAAATCAAGTCCAATTTTAAACATTATAAATACATCAAAATAGCTATTTTGGTACCAATATCATGCCATTTTTGTTACTATAGCTCAGTTGGTTAATTTAAGGTCTGGTATTTTGATGCCTCCTGTATCACTTTCCTCACTAAGGATTGCTTTGGCTACTCTGGGCCTCTTATTCTTCCAAATGAATTTTATGACTGATTTCTCTATTTCTATGAATAATGTCATTGGGATTTTAATAGGAATTGTATTAAATCTGTATAGAACTTTTGCTAGTGCGGTCATTTTGTCAATATTAATTCTGCCTATCTGAGAACATGAAAGATCTTTCTACTTCTAAGGTCTTCTTCAATTTCTTTCCTTAGTGTTCTATAATTTTCATTGTAGAAGTCTTTCACCTCTTTTGTTAGATTGATTCCCAAATATTTTATTATTACTTTTTTTGAGGCTACTATGAGTGGGATAGTTTTCCTAATTTATCTTTCAGTTGATTCATCATTGGTGTATAGGAACACAATTGATTTGTGTGTATAAATTTTATATCATGCTACTTGTTTCAATTCATTTATGAGTTCCAGAAGGTTTCTGTCAGAGTTTTCTGGGTCTTCTAAATATAAAATCTTGTCATTGGCAATTAGGGATAGTTTGAGCTCTTCTTTTCCTATTTGTATCTTTTTAATTTCTTTCCTCTGTCTAATTGCTCTGGCTAGAGTTTCAAGGAGTATGTTGAATAGAAATAGAGGAAAGAGGGGTGGGAGGGAAAGGGAGGGGGCAGGGGGTTAGCAATGATGGTGGAATGTGATAGACATCATTATCCAAAGTACATGTGTGAAGACACGAATTGCGTGTCAACGTACTTTATATACAACCAGAGATATGAAAAATTGTGGTATATATGTGTAATAAGAATTGTAATGCATTCCGCTGTCATTTTAAAAAAAAGAAGTGGTGAAAGAGGGCACATCTGTCTTGTTCCAGCTTTTAGAGGGAATGTTTTCATTTTTTTCCATTTAGAATGATGTTGGC